TGTGTGTGTATGGCGTGTGTGTGTGTGTGTGTGTGTGTGTGTAGTGTGTGTGTGTGTGTGTGTGTGTGTGTGTGTGTGTGTGTGTGTGTGTGTGTGTGTGTGTGTGTGTGTGTGTGTGCACGCACATGCAGTGTGCATGAGCCCGGTCTGCATGTGCCAGGGCCTGCGAGACATAGTGATGGGTAGCATGCGTTTCATGTGCCCACACTTGCATGAGCGTTGATTGCATGTGGCGTGGATTTCCTGACTTGAGGAAGCAGCGCAGCCAAAGGTGCGTGATCCGCAAGATGTAAAAGGGGCCCCTGCACTCACGCCGACCACCGCCACGACATCCACGGCGACTTCGCCGCCCTCCAAAATGCGGTGCCACCGCCCCGTCTTCATCGCGGCGCTCAGCGTGCCCCTGCGGGCCGGTGGGACACGGCGGCGACGGTTGCGATCGGCGCGGTCAAATTCTGTGCCTCACCACCTGTGCCGGCTGCCTGTGCCCCGTGGGGACGCCCCAGCATCAACACCAGGATTGGTGAGGTATTGGACGCGTCTGTGGCACCATTAGCACCAATCTGGAAGACACACAGGACGCCTAGCGGCACGCGGGGAGCCCATCGTTGGCTACGTCACTGAGTCAGCACCCAAACGTCACTTGCGGTGTCACCCCACGGGTGTCACCCCACCGGCGGCGTCACCCCTCACCCGTCGCAGTACTCCATGACGAGGATGTTGTACGTCTCCCCGACCGCCTCCCCTGGCAGGACCCGCCTGTACCGCGGCCCGCAGCCGGCGGCCGCGGCCGCCCCGCACGCGCTGAGGGCAGAGTCCATCACCCCAGTCGCCCCCGCAGGGCCTGGGTTCGGGGATTCGTTCACGGTGAGGAGCGGGGCGGACGGCGATGACGCATGCGAGCCGTCAGTCCATAAGCTGGGGGCCAATGGGGCGCGAGGAGCTTGGCATTTTGCAGGGGCTGCGGAGCCGCCCACACGGAGCCGAGCTGGTCCCGGGCACAGCATGACGTGCGAGCTGGAGGGTGTGTCGGCGCCGTGGGCTCGTCACCTGCGTCGGCCGCGACCATGTTTGTCAGACAGCAGTAGACCTGGACAATGTTGGGGTGCTGCACGCTGGACAGCACCGCCATCTCCATTACATCGGGGACCGCCTCGAAGTCGCAGGAGCGGGCGTTGAGCACCTGGGGGGGAGGTGCGCGCATGGTGTGATCATGTGGCGTCATCCCGGGCATTAGGCGACATAGCGCCGAACAGGGCGTGTGAAGCGAGGCAGCAGCGTCGCTCCGCCTGCAGGCCGCGTGGGAGCCGTGCCGCGGGCGAGCTGCTCAACCGCCCCTGGGCGTGTGCAAAGGTCAGATGGTGATCAGCCTGTGTCGGGGATCAAACGGCTGCACCTGCAGCGGACTGGTGACTGCGGACATGCAGGGAAAGCTGCGCCCTCCGCTGGAAGAGCTGACAGCGCCCCTCCGCCCCGCCCCCGCAAGCCAGCCAGCTCCGTACCTTGATGGCCGCCGCCGCCGTGTGCCACGTGCCGCGGAACACGCGCCCAAATCCCCCGCTGCCCAGCGCCTCGTGGATTTCCAGATCCGACTGGAAGCTGAGCAGGCTGCTGCGGCGGCGCCCGCTGTGCAGCTGCTGCTGCAGGACCCGCAGCATCCCCTCGGCGCACAGCTGGCGGCTGCTAACCTTGGACAGCCGCGACGCGCGCCGCGCGCGCGGCGCCCGGGCGCCGCGCGAGTCTGACGAGTCGCAATGGTCGTCCGCGCCCGCGGCGGCGCCGGCGTCCGACGGCAGGGGCGTGCGCGGGCCGGAAGCAGGCGCAGGGTGTGGGGCAGCCTGGGGGCCGCCGAGCTCGACCTGTCGTTTAAGGGAGGCCAATGAAGGCATGAGGGGCAGCCGATCAGAGGCCCGCTTGGCACAGAAGTGAAGAGTCAAGCATGCAAATCCAGTGTCATTTTACTTCCCAATGATTACGCTCGCCCTCAGCGCGGTGGTGAGGCTGGTGACACAGAGGGCGGGCCGAGGAGACCCGGCCTGCAGGCGCCTGTGGCCGGGATGCTCGCTGCTCTTTGTTTGCTGCGGTTGCTGGCAAAGCGCGAGCACGCAGCAGCGCTTGGACGGATGATGCAGTTGTTGCCCGACCGCGCTCTGGGTCAAACATGGTCAACGGCTTGCGCGATCGCTTTGCAGCACACCTCCTGCACGATCATCCTGATGAGGGGCATCTGCCCTGACAGCTTGTTGGCAATGGTCAGCGCCAGCGCGTGCACGAGTCCCTGGGAGGGTCAGACGAAGGGATGTGGGGGCGGTCAGACGCGTGCAGCTAAGATTTGAAAAGCACGCAGCAGCACGAGGGGCTGTTCGCAGGGTTGAAGGGGGGGAGAGGGGGGTGGAAAGGGGTGGGGTTGAGCGCGAGGGCGAGGAGGGCTTGAGGCGCGCACGAGGAGGGGTGGAGGCGATGGAGGGCGCACTGGACTGCCTCAGCACTGCCCTGGCACCTGCTTGTCTGGACACTTTTATAGAAGCATACGCACGCGCAAGCACCCAACTGAGGATACGTGCGCGCGCACGCAAGCACACACACACACGCACAAACACACACACAAACACACACACACACACGCACAAACACACAAACACACACGCATGCACACACACACATAACGCACCAGCACAGTCTCCTTGATATTCGAAAAATCGCACGGCACGTCCTGCGTCAGGTACAGCCCTCCCAGCGCCGTGCCGCCCCTCAGCAGTGGCACCACCACCAGCGACGACACCGCCTGGGACGCGTGCGTGAACAGGTCGCGCGCGGGGCTGGGGCAGCTCTGCATGTAGGCTGCAACGTCCTTCACGAAGCGCGCCTTCCTGCGGGTCACCTGTGCGCCAGCACAGGATAACGGCAATACATGGGGGTGCGCGCGTGAGAGCCAAGGGGTGAAGGACTGGGCTGCACGCACTACGCTCAAGGCACCCAGGTCCAGCGGCCCCATCCCCGCCGCCGCTTGGCAGCACCGCCGAGGGCCGCGGGTGTTTTCTGTGCTTTCCAAAAAATGGCAGCCCGCGCAGCCGCAGGCCACGCGGAAACGTCACAGGCCGCACCGCGCTGGCGACGAGGGTGTGGGCCAGCCCCAGCTCCCTGACGGTGACGTCAGCGCAGGGATCCTCGGCCAGCACGACGCTCCTGCCTTGGGACGCGTCCATGTAGTGGCGGCAGACGGCGTCCGCCCTCCTGGACTCAAACACCAGGCAGGTCACTTGCCCGCCGTCGACCAGGGCGAGCCTCACGCCCATGGAGATGTTTGTCGCGCGCCACATGGAGCGCGCGGTGCTCTGCGCGCCGGCCGCAGCAGCGGCGGCGGCGTGTTTTGTAGGTGCGCGCCGGCAACGTGAGGGCCGGGCTTTGCAACAGACAGGAAGAGGGGGGTTGGGAGTGGGCTCCCGCGCGAGTCGGTTGTGCATACACAAGCAGCAGAAGCTGCCGCTGTTTTGAGAGACTTTGTAGGCGTCGGTTCAAGACGCGGCGGCGCCGCATGTGCTATCAAGAACTTGGGTGCTGCACCCAGCGCCAGACGGCTGGCGGCCGGCCCACCTGCAGCAGGGCGCTGATCGCGGAGACGGGGTCTCCCGCGTCATCGATGGCGCGCATCATCCGCACAGCCTGCGCCACCTGCGCCGGCCGCACGTGCTGCAGCAGCCCCGTGGCGGCGGCGTCGAGCATTAAGAGCGAGCTGCGGCGGGGGGTGTAGAGTTTGCGTGGGCGGGCGGTGGGATCATGATCACCGCTTTGGTTCTCGGCAACACGCGAGCCTGTAGCATGCCAGGTGCGGCGGTTCAGAGTCGCATGTGAGATTTTAATTACGGTAAACATGCCAGCAGGGGTCAATACACCAACACACACTCACGCATGCACCACGGTCGCACGCCCATGCGTACACAAGCAAGCTCGTCCATGCGCGCGCACACATGCACACACGCACGCTTTGCACAGCGACATCGAGCCTCCATCCTCGTAAACGCACAGCCTGCCGCCCCCCCAACCACGCACTCGCTGTCATCGAAGCCGCGCGCCTCCATCCTCCCGACGACCAGGACTCCCCGCGGGCTGCCCTTCGGCCCTATGGCAGCTGCCAGGAAGCTGCGGAGGCCGGCCTTCCGGTGAAGGGTCGCGAGGTCGCGAGGCAGTTCGCCCTGTTTCATGGGGCGACGATGCGAGCACTCAGCCGCGCGCAAATCAGAGTTGTTAAGCAGGGGCCCCTTCACCGATCGCAGGCGCGACTGCGCGTGCACTCGGCTGCCTCGGTCGCAGCCGCCGCGCAGCTGGAAACCGCAGCACCCCCCCCCCCCTGCTCGCTCAAGCAAGCCGCGCCCCGGCGCCTCAAGCAAGCGCGCGCACCTGGAACGCAGGCGCGTCCGGGACAGCCAGTCGCCCCTCTCCGTCCTGCGCGAGCCGCACGGCGCTCCAGGCGTCGCCCCTGACCACGCTCGTGCGCTCGAGCGCGGACGCCCCCCTGCCTTCCGCTGCCATCAGGGCGGCGCAGCCGGGCTCATCCTCTGCAAACACATAGACCCTGAAGGGGAATGAGGGCAGGGCGAGGGAGCGGGCCGGGTAGGGGCGGGTTCTAACCAAGGGGTTCCACGAGCTTGCCTTTTTTTGGACCCTCCTTTCCGTCACCTGCGTTACTAACGCCACGGTCCCTGCGACAACCTCCTATCGCCGCCCGCCCTGCTCTTCCGCCGACCGCCCCGCCCGCGGCAGCCGCCCTAGGCGCCGCGGCCACCCACGCTGCGGCGTCGGCGTCCAGGTGGCGCATCACAATGGCTGCGGCCTCTGGCAGCGCCAGCAGCGGGTGGCTGGCGACCAGGGAGAGCTCCTGCTGCAGCGCCCCCATCTGCAGGGGGCGTTTTCGAGGTGTCACAGTGACGTCATCACTCATCAGCAGCGGCCGGGTCCCGTCGGGCCGGGCGGCAGGGCGGCGGCCGGAGGGGCGGGGGAGCGGGCGGCTAGCGGCGAGCGGCGGGCGGCGAGCGGCGGGGCTGGCGGGGTGGGATGGGCGGCGCGGCGGCAGGGCGCGCGCGCGCGGCGGCTTGCCTTGACCACTACTTCGATTTCCACGTAGCCTGCGGCGCCGGGGCCGGCTGCGGCGTGTGGCCTGCGCCGCTGACCGCCGGAACCGGCGCGGCCCCTCGGCGCCTCTGGATCCTCGCCGCATCCGCGGTAGCCGCTGGCGTCCCCGCCGCCGGCTGGTTGAGTGGCGCGAGGGCGGGGAGCCTGCGGCGGCAAGGGCCCGTTGGCAGCCGCAGGCGGGGCGTCCATTGTCGCCCCTGCACCGACAGCTGGGTTTGAAGCGCAAGCTCCCATTGCTGCTTTGAGGCTCTGTGTAGGTTGATCGGAGCCAGGAGCGGCAGTGGCGCGGGGCCATGTGGTCTCGAAGGTCTAGGCATGAATGAATGAATGCACATCGACGATGCGTCATGCGTCACACGGAGCGCTTCCTCTTGTAGCTGGCCGTTTGGACGCCACGGCAGCGGCAAGCACCACATCACATGCTCACGTCGCCTTCCGCCCTTTCAGCTAGGGTGCGGGGCGCACCGGCAGAGATCTGTTGTCCAGCACGGGTTACACCAGACGACTCGCACAACCCGCGCGCATTGAACCATATTTCGAGCCCCGCATTATGTGCTCTACTGGGTCGCTCAAACCACCACCAGCAGCCGCGGCATCGTTAGGCGCCCTGTGCTACAAAATCCCTCGTGCACTCTAACCTCGCTGTGGATCAATTTAGATGCAATCATAGTAAAGTGAGTGAACAGTAGACGTCCGCGGGTGCTTCTTGATGGTTGCTCGTCATCGGGTGTCGCACCAGTCCCAATGTTTACTTCTGGATTAGATAGCGACCCCTTTGTCTCGGCGAGCAACACCGCAATATGCAGGACCTCCATGAAATTCTAGTGTTGCATCACCAACGCTCTGGGCCTGCATGCGTTGCGCCACTGCAGCCATTGCTGCCGTAATGCTGTGCCTAGCCTTTCGCCAGGCCCATGCTCGCTCGTGGGCCGTGGTGCCGGGCAGCCGCTTGGCATGTCCTGCAGAATGCCTGGGTTTTGCTGTGTGAGCTTACGGTGCGGCGCCATAACCAGGCATAAGGAAGCCACCTGCCACGGGGCGGTCTGCCTCGTTCTAGCCAATGCATCGGCAGGCAGTCCGACCAGCCGCGTCGCAGTGGTGACATGCCCCTCCCTTCGCTTTCATCAAGATAGTCAAACTCCTCGCAGATGGATCATGCCGAACACACAGCACCACACAGCAAGTGCCATTGACGGGTGCGACCGTGCGTGCCAGCCGTGATGCATATAAAATGGCGTCCAGACAGCCGGCACGCAGGCTCCGGACTTATCTGATCCGTCTCATGAGGTGGGGTGATTTGCTGCCTGGATGTTCAGCTATGATGGGCAGGGACTCTGACTTGTGTCTAGGCAGGGACCAACGCTGGTATGGATGGTATAAACCTGACCTGGCGTTTACATCCACACAACAATGAAGTCCGTACGTCAGAAAAGCCAGCAGCAGCGCGGCGGCTGGCCGGGCGCCGCAACAGTCAACGTGGAGACCAATGAGGGGGCGTCTTGGATGGAACAAACACAAGCACGCGGCGCTGATGTGTCACATCATGGTGGGCAGGAGGTCTCCCTTGAGGGTGTAGAGGCCAACGGCGGGCCCCACAAACCTGGCGCGCAAGGGTTGGGGGTGAGAGGGGCAGGATTGAGCCGAAAGCGCTGCGGGGACGGCAGCGCCTCTAGGCCGCGCTGCGCGAAGCGTTCCCACGCCACACCCTGGGGCGGTTGCTGAGGCGGGGTTGCAGCCATGGCTGAAAGAACACTGCAACCCTTCCACACACGCCACGACGACATGGCACCAGACGGCCTGCGTGTCTTGCCTAGTGGCCCTGGCTACATCGGAGCCTTTGCCCCAACTCTTTCTTGCCCCAATCGCAGCGACCCCCAGTGTCAGCGTACGCAAGCGCATCGCCTTACGTGGTGCACGAGCCTGCGCGCACCGACCGTGCAGCCCTCGCCCGCCCTCTGCCCGATGACCCTGCCCCACATACTGCGTTTCGTCGCCGTCACCGT